TCGCTCCCCGACAACAACGCCCTTGCTGGTATCACTGAAATTTGCCCATACAAAAGGGAGGCAAATCCCGTATTCCAACAAAACAACCAAACCAATAAACAAAACAACTTTCATCCCCAGTTAAATACAAATACATTTCCAGTGAATACAACTGAACGTACTACAGTCATCTAAAACCATTCAATTGCCGTTTCTTTATAGGGTAACTGTAGGCCATTTATAAGTGCTTACCATGCGGTCAATCTGCCTTCTTTTCCTTCAAGCTGTTCTCATTGGTTTTGCCCGACACACCAAAGTAACTGCGAAGAGGCATTGCCCCAAGTTTACTTCTTGTATTGACAGCTATGCTGACATTTATAAATCCCTAGCATCAGAGGAGAACAGTTTCAACATTGAATCTGCGCTGTATCCAGCAATGACGCCAAAATCACTTGTCATCAAAGTAGAGTTCATCACACACGATGAAACATCGGTGGCAAATTACACTTGGAGTTTAAACTGTTTATATGTTGCTATTCCTCCTCAAGTCCTCCAACTCTTGTCGCTTGGCTCCGTTCTTGTTACACCACGCACACAAGAGCTGAAAATCTGCATTCCCTATTTCTGTAGAAATATTTCATCGCCCAAGGAGCAGAAAGGCCTCATGAAAGGTGTTCTCTCTGCGGTACGCAACTGTATGCCTACTATTCCGTTTTAGTAAAAGGCAACTAGTGGTCTATTATCAATGTTGCGTTCTGATTGGTTGAGCTACTACTAGGCTATGTGTTATAGCCCACTAGTAGCGCGGGCTTTTTGGCGGCAAAAAAAAATATTAGAGTCTAGCTTTAAGTAGCTAAAACTTTTTTATCGTCGATGTTTTTGACCAACTAGTTGGAATTTACTAAAAAAAATTATTCCTCTCCCCTTTATGGCTTCTGAGTCAATAGCCCATTCGGCCTTCGGCCTCGTGGGCTATTGACTCAGAGCCCATTTGGGCTCGAGGAATAATTGTTACATAGTTTACACTAATTACTGGAGATACAGAGAAACCGAGATTATACAATTAAAAGAGGATTAATCAAAGTCTTAAAGACCCCATACTTTTACGCGAAATTCTAACATTTTAGGAGCCAACACCACGAGGAATTATTGTTGGAGCAAGAATTTATAAAATCCAGTCTAGACTTGTAAAAGTTTTACAAAGGCAGAGATGTAGATTTTATGTCGCACTTCAGAAGTGAGTCAAACAAGTTTTGACACTTTTTTTTAAAATTTAAGAAAAGAGTTGTATAACTCCCTTATTACAAAATGATATCAAAATCTATGAATCACCTTGTTCAGTCTATAAAATGAAAATAAGGGTGTTTTTTTGCAAAGTATCAGTGTTGCTAGAGAAACCACTAAGGTCTAGACTGACCATAAATTGTTCTCCAATTTTAAACTGGTTGTTGAATATATTATTGTTGCATTAACTGGTAAAAAAAAGTGGCAATATGTGTTGATAATAAAAAGTGTTTGTTCAACCAGTTCGGTCTCTATCGTATTATGCGAATACTGATCACATTAAACATATTTCTTTTTCACAGCTTCAAGATCTGGCCGTGCGTCCAGAAATACGGGATCCAAGACTAAACACAGCAGAGTGCGTTATAGAGGGACATGAAACAGACATAATGGCTACAGGACCTCGAAGTTCGTACATAAGAGCAATTTTATGGTGTGCATTTATTTTTTCATTCTGGGCTGGTCCTTATTTAGCGGAAATTATTTTAGGTGTGATAGAACAGAGATCCCAAAGTCCCCAAAGTGCTACGGAACTCTATGATTTCCAGGTTCCCACTTCCCTGGGCCCGAGAGAAAATATTTCGGAGTCCGCCCTGATAAGGGCAGTAGTTTGCGTATGTTGTTTATTGCTTTGTGTAGAACTTATAATATTAGTCTTTATATTCAAATTTTCTGTATCAGGAAATGCCCCAATTGATGTTTACATATATATTGGGATCCTTATTTTGGAAGGTGTGATATTAACTTGCCTAAAAAAGTGCCCTTGGAACAGAGTGTTTATATTAACATTTTGTCTAATCTTTACATCGCATCATTTTTGTTGGCTGGTGATCGGCATTATGATTAATCCAGTGTGGGGACTAACGGTTTTACTCCTAGCTTGCTTTTCTGTCGTCTTGTTAACTTTCCTACTCTGCCAGATTTTTTGGGGAGAAAATTTCAAATGCAGTCGAGACGACATCATGCAAATCATTGTATGTGGTGTTACCTTTTGCGGTGGTTTCTCGCTTGTTGCGTCAGCAGTTTTAGCGGGACAGTCGTTTTACGGAAGGGGGACTGCGGACGAGCTGGTGAAAACTGTACTGTTGTCTGTTATCAGCGTTGGTACTTCACTGTTGTCTTATCTGAGTAAAAAACATTAGAAAAAAGAAGAAAATGCTGCCCAATAACTCTAAAACATAAGATAGAGGAATATTTCCAAGCAGATAGCGCCGTCCGTTCTGCCAGCCTGCGAGCAAGCTCTCCATTTGCCACAGTTAGAGGAGTCGCGAAAATTCACGCGCGGCTTCGCGGCTCGCTTCGCTTGCTACAAATGGAGAGCTTACTCGATTCGGGGCTTCCGTTCTGCGCATCTTGAGTAGCCCTAGGAAACTCGGATATTTAGAAGATGCCTCCTCTTTTTACAAAGCATGTCCACTCAGCAAGAAGCAAAGAGTAATGACATCCAAATACGGTCGAAACCTCCGTAAGCGACCAACCAAAGCGCAAACCTTCACTGAAGGGTCTCTTCAAGGAATAGGTACCGAACACTTCAAAGACAATTTATCGAATACCATATTTTGGAAGTTACAATACGTGCAGTATAATTCTGTCACTTACTCTAGGTAGTGATAGTAACATCACCTGCGAAAACATACATCGGATCTCTCGACAAGTGGTTACTAGCGATAAAAAGCAATGGAACTGTCGCGGTGAGAGGCACCAAGTACAGACCTTTAAACAAGAAAATTTTGGTGTTTACAGAGGGGTAACGGCGAACTGTTTAGAGATAACCTACTTGAATCTTTTTCAGTTTATGGCGTATTCAACCTAACAAGTTGATGGAAAAAAGACTTGATAAATAACTTGATTTGAGCAGTCTTACTTCAATAACCTGTCTTATTTACGAAACAATAACTTACTGCAACAAAGCTTGTTTCTTTGATCACTGTATAGATCTGAAAAAGAACGGGCAATTATTTTAACATGGCTTATGAACCTGTTTAAAAGGTAAAGTTTGGACTTAATCATAAAAATTTTCAGCATTTTTTCTAACATTGTCTTTATTAGTCAGGTGGAGATCCAAACTGGTTTTCGCCGAGACAACAAACGCACAATTAAACGTTTAATACTATAACATGTGAAAATAACAGACACTTTTGGAAGTTGAAATTTTCAGAGTTTTCAACCTTTGTAAGGGAGTGTGCATTAGAACAGGGGAAAGTCTTTTTTTAGTTTTTATCGTAACTGCATGTTATAGACGTTGGCAGTTTCTTATATTAATGTGATAAATAGTTTGTATTAGTTCGTAGAAGTAAAATAAAGGTTATACTTTATTTGTGTTGGCTCTTCAGTGAACTTTAATTTCACTTATGCCAGAGCATGTTGATAGTTTCTCTGAACCCAAACTGGGCACTCGAGTGGGGGTGGGTTTAGTCAAAAAGGTTTCATACGGGGAGACTCCGCCCCAAAGTCTAACCCCTTACCGTTTTTTACACCATTTTTGACAGACAAGGTACCCGTTTTGTATACCTTTTATTGACAAAATGATACCTCTCGTACATATCATAGTAACGAGTACCTAATACCTATACCGCAATCACAGACTCCCTCACCTTTCATATACTTCAATTAGTGAAATCCCTACACTTCATTATGTTTGAATTTTACTAGTGATGACCCACCCCAATCTCGACGGTCGCGTATTCCCAGGGAGCATTGCGTGACTCTGGCCCGAGCGGCTGCGAAGGAGACTACATGGTTCCCGGCTCAAAAGCCGAGACTGCGGCCTGGGGAGAATGGAACAGCATGACAGAGTTGCCTTTATTTTCTATGAGTCTGTGGTCGAAACATTCCTAAGGTAGTCTCTAGTTTAATTTGTACTGAGAAGAATAGTTTTCTCGGTCGCTTGTAAGTTTAAAGGCTTACTGAAGTAAAACATCCCTAAATCAGAGCTGGAAAAATAAACCTGGTTTCCCGGGGCTTGTCTTGTTGTCGTGTCCGAGGCCACTTCTTGCTCGTCTTAGTTAATAATTTGTCAGATAATGACTTGTCTGGACCCCTACCCACTGAGTAAGTAGTGCAGGGTCCGGGGGGTCCTGACCCCCTTATAAGACCTGACGCTTGTTTGAGACTGAAATTCGTACATCGACAGGATCGTATATCACTTTTTAACTGGCTGATTTTTTTTCATGAAACGCGCGTGGCATTTTGCCTCTAAACTGTATGCATCCCAAATTACAAGTTTTGCCGGCTTATAACTGGTTATACTCTTCCTGTTAGTGCTGCCGAAGCTGAGTGTTCATTCTCTGGATTGGGACGAATCAAGTCATATCTCAGATGACCGGTTGTCAGGATTTGCACTCATGCACTTAATTCATGATCTTAACATTGATGTTAGCGAAATCTGTACAAACGTTTTTACCAAGCACAAGTGGAGGATGTTTCAAGGGTGCATCCTTTACAAGTAGAATTTAATATTTGGATCCCCCTCCTCCCCCAATCAAAAATTCCTGGATCCGCCCATGGTAAGTAAGCTTTACAACTAATTACTAGCCTAGCAAGGAAATCTACTTGTCCCGGACTACTGGAAGGCACTTTTTTCGAGCCCTGATTTACGTTGACTCGCTGCACACACCAACAAGATACAATTTTATCGCCAAAGATCGATTTATTCTCTTTACATTCTCCTGTCAATGAAAACCAACGAACATGTAGGAATGAGTAGCATGCTCACAGGTCTCACAGCAATCTATGAATTATTTGTTTCCCTCCTCCATGTCTTCAACGCGGTACTTGTCATGAAGACGCTGGAAAGCTGTGTCCTTGTTTGATTTTCGGTTTGACACGTTTCTTCGACCACTGACCTGTTGGCTAAATAAAGAAATGGAGTTTACTTACAGAAAATATTTGACCTGGGGATGTGTGAATTAAATTTTAGAGGAGTAGTGGAATTACACTTTGAAACTGGATGCGTGCCTGTTGGTTGCATTGTTGGTTGCATTGTTGAGTAGGGATATGTATTAGGATTACAAAAGTCCTTTACATGAACGTATATTAATAGTGACTTTCGTTGTCGGTTTCCAAGTCAGTAGTTATATTTTCTCTCGGTATAGTTCTGGCCCTGAGAAGGCCAATTTTGATAGCCGAAATATTGCCCTATAATAAATCAGCCCTTTGTCGTAGTGCCTGCCCTGCATTGAGTTTTGTTTTATGGCAGTTTGTTTACGTCCTTGTCTGCCAAGGTCACGATGATAAAACTTCGCGCGTGGGCAAGGTACCGGCTGCCATACAGAGCCACACTTGCGGAGTTTTCAGGATTTCAAACCCTTAATGACAATCTCATAACCAAACGTGTGTGCATGTAACCCCTGTCGGATTACCTCTTAAGCGGCTGGAAAATGCACATTGCCAAAGCAATGAGCACACCAAGAATGCCGACGATAATCATGGAGATGTAAAAGGTCTTCAAAGAACCTTTGGGCTTCTCTTCTTTGTCTTTCTGGTTTGTTTGCTTGCTGGCGAGGACTTTAGGAAGTGCTTAAGGCAGAAAGAAAACAAAAACGTTACCATTGAACGGAGCGAAAGTTGTCTCTGTCTTGATATTATGAAGCTATTGTCTGTCGGGACCAATCTCGAACCAGATTAGCCTCCCACGCAGACGTTCTTAGGGGCTCGTCACGCGTTCCTGCCCCATGTCCGTGTGACAGGAACGCGTGACGAACCCCTAAGAGCGTCTGCGTGGGAGGTTAGACCCAGATCTCTTCTGCGCATGATCGCGGAGCCAGAAACGGAAGCAGTGGGGACAAGAATGTACAGGGACAAGAACAAGCCAGCTGCGGACTTAATACTCTCTTGAATTTTATAAAGAAATTAGGCATCTAGGTTTATAATTTATAGTCTAATTTATAGTTTTTTAATATATGTTTATATATTAATTAATTTTTTTTTTTTTCTTTTTCTGTTTTGGAAGGTATGTCTTAGAATGGGAATTTGGTTTCCCCCTACTACCGTCCTGTTAACCATTTTTGTATTTTTGTTCGATTGTATATGTTAGTATTAGTTCATTTGTATCAGTTATGTATGGTTACGAACTGTGATTAAAGATTAAAGATTAAAGGCATTCACAACACGAATTGCGTATTTCAATATTTTTTTGGCAAAATAGTTTTGCAACAAAGGCGTATCGTACTGTATTGTATGTATTAGATAATAGCCTGATCCACAATCAGTTTGGCCTTACTTAGGGGGTAAATTACATTCATAGACTGACTTTCATAGTCACCCTCCCGGGCCTACACCTCTTTTTAAATCATACATTTCATGGTGCAGACTTTTCCATGTGATTTTCGAACAAGAGCGCAAATGTGAATCTTCAACTTGGATTTATGTGACTTGCATGTTCCTCCTACTAGAACTGGTTTCTCTGGTTTAGTGTTCATTCGAGCAAAACCTAAAAGAAAAATAAAAACCATGCTAAGCTAAATTTTATCTCGTTTTCAAATGCTGCCCTCCAATTAAAACATATAAACACTATAAGTAGGTTGAGTATGATCGTCCGGGTGAACGTTGTCCTGAATAGGACTGTTGTTGTTGACAATGACTTACGTTTCAGTAACCTGGTGGTGGTCATCTTCAGAGTCAAAGTGAGTTTTATCACGTCAGTTGATGGTATTAAACTCTAGTTATTGGTCAATTTATTCGCGATGTTGTTGGTCTGTCAGTTATACCGTCTTATACTTGAACCCTGTTAGGCCCAAAAATGTCTGACCGCTTAATATTCTTTCTGGGCACACTGTCATTTAAGGCGACGCAGTTTCAGTCATACTCATCCTCGGAGACCCAGGTGCAGGAGAAAAGGCGCGACAAAAGTTTTCAAGTACCGGCCGAAGAGGCAGGCCCTGGGTACCGACTCGGTCACCAGACCATTTCCAAACGGTCAAGCAAATGCTGGCTCCTGATTGGGCACAAAAAAATCCTTTGCCGGTATTATTGCTCCCAATCGGCCAACAGTATCCCCGAGTTATTTTCGTGTGTTCGTACACGACGGCTATTTTTTTCGCCATACTTGCAAAGAAATGCACGCAATCAGGAAACTTTCAGTTTGATAAAGACACCGTCCATTTCAAAATACTGTCTAGCCGAAAACTAAAACATGGAACCGTATGTAACGGTATTTTAAAGACGCTTTTGCAAAAATACAAACTTGAGCTTACAACTAGCTTGCATCGATCACACCTTTGTAAATATCTCTTACGATACCTTGTGATTGGTTAGAAAAAGAACTTTCTCGGTGCAAATTGGAGTGGTCCTGCTGGTATCATCCGAAACGTTTTCCTGAGTCATCGGTAGGTCCTTCGTTTCTTGTTAGGGAAGTAGAAAATGAAAGTTTCCCTTGCACGCACAACCTTGGTGAACGAACAATAATACAAAGGATTTTTTGTGCCCAATTTTAAGCCAACATTTTCTTTACCATTTGGAAATGGTCCGGTGAGAGTCGGTACACAGGGGCTCTTTCACCTGGTCTTGAAGACTTTTGTCGTGACCTTTCTCACCCGACTGACTGCCCGTGGGTTTCCGAGGATTGCTTTCAGTTAATAAACACAAAAAGGAAAACTAATAATGAATGCGTTTCGTCTGAAGTATCAGTTTTACATGCAGCTCTTATGCCGCTCGATGGCCTACATGAGAAAAACGGATGTGTGCACTCTTTATTCGAGGGAAGCGCTTACTCAAGTATATAAAATATTTGAGATTTTCCAGTCCAGGCTTTTCTGTTTTGGGTCAGAATAATTGTCCTGAATTCAGACTTACCAATGAAGTAATAAGTTTCTACATCCTTTCTAATAAAATCCAGAGCTCTGATAGCCTTGTTTGCATGGTGCTCCCCACATTTTAAAGAGGCGAGGATTTTTCCCTGGGTTGCGTCGCACGTTTTGTATCCATGGTGATCAACGCTGTAGATATCGACTGTTCCTGAATAATTCATCGGTAAGGGAGACCCACACTCGAAGCTTAACGTACAATTCGTTGTCATCCAAAGTAGTTCAGCATGTTTATGTTTACTACGATAGAATTAATCAGTTCCATTCAGTTGGAGAAATGATAATAGTAAATTTCGTAATTTCTTATGTATATCGAGCGCCCAGGCTATTCTGATGACAAAACCGTGATTGTCCGGTGTTGTTCACAACTTGAAATGGGCAGGCTTGAAAACCCCCGATTTGTATGTCAACTGCTAATCAGCTACTAGGATGTTTACCGGTCGGATTATGACCGGCTTTTTCACGAAATACTATAATACCGTATTTATTCGATTAACCGCCCTGGGCGCTTATTAAATTTCTGAACCTTGAGAGTGGGCGCTTATTCGAGGCTGGGCGCTTATTAAATTTTCACGAATAGAATAGAATAGTCTGAAGAAAGCTCCGTCCTCGGGAAAGTCTCTTATTAGAATTTATTCACTCAAGTGGGTGGGGTGGGGGTGAGCGCTTATTTGAGTTTGATTGCGCGGAGGAGGGGGTGGGCGCTTGTTCGAGGCTGGGCGCTTATTAACTTTTTCTGCCTTTAGGATAGTCGCTTATTCGAGGTGGGGCGCTTATTCGAATAAATACGGTACTCTTTAAAATGCAGGCCTGACCTCTATCAGGTGGGTAACATTATTCCGCAATGATATTTGCTGAAACTAGTGGCACGATGGAATTCAGGTTGTGTTTACACTATAACGGATAGCCTTTGCGCCGGCACGAAAACCATACCGGTTACGGCTTCTGTTCACACATAGGAACGGGGATTTCGGCGCGACTTCTGTAACGGGACAACGCTGCGTCTCGCCGATCTCTTAAGTGGAGAGTCACATATCGGACAGGTGTTCATGCTATAACAGGTAGCTTTTGGTGTCGGCACAAAAACTATACAAATAGTTAACCCTTAGCATCGAAAACTCGGCACATGCAGCTCTTGTCAAGATTGTCGAGTGAGTTTGAGGCTAAACCTGCCCGTTAACATAGTTGAAGCGTTCGATTGACCGGCCATATTCCGGAATAAAAATGTATGAAATAACTCTATAAATCGCTTGCTTTGGCGCTCATTGCAGTGCAATCTCTAGAAATCTGCTTGATATAAAATATTGAGAAGTAATTAATCTTCTAAATGAATGAAATGAATTGTCCACTGGGAAGACGACTCTCATAATTGAAGCCTCTCACTCACAGATATTATTATCGTTACATAGTCAATCAATTCCCAGATTTGACAGTCACAACATGATTTCCCTGCAGACAAATACCGTATTTATTCGATTAACGGCCCGGGGCGCTTATTCCCGGTGGGCGCTTATTAAATTTTCCCCATTTTCAGCAAGAGTAACATGTTTATTTTGCAACAAAACGCAAAGATGTAACAAGGCAAGGTTTCTGTAAAATACTCTGAAGAAAACTCCTTCTTCGGGGAAAGTCTCTTCTAGTAGTTATTCAATTTTTTATTTGAGTTTTAGTGGGAGAGGGAGGGGGCTTGGCTGGGCTGAGCGCTTATTAACGTTTTCTGCCTTTAGGATGGGCGTTTATTCGAGGTGGGCGCTAATTCGAAGTTGGGCGCCTATTCGAATAAATACGGTAATTTTCTATTGAAAGGAAAAGAATGCATCTATAGAGGGGGGTTCGTGGGGGACGCCAGAAAACGCGTTAAACTTCAAAAGTCTGAAATAAGATCTACCAGGAAAAATATTCTTTTAGAAAGTAAAAGGAACGTCTGACCTCATAAGCAGTTTTTGCCAATCAACGCTGTGAGTTTCAGACATCGCTGAAGAAGAGCAAAATATCAGCAGCGTTACAAAGCTAAGCCGCAACTGCGTCATTTTGAGGCAATATAAGTGGCAACAGAAACTTGTTCTTCGACATCTTTTTGTTGGGTCAGTCTCTTCGTCCATAAGTGATGTCATAGTCATAATCAATGGTTAATTCCTGCGTCAAGATCGAGCATTAACGCGCGCGAATGTAAATACATCTGATGGAGCAGTTATCAATTGAGCATACAATTGGCCAATAATAGACTGCGAGCAGTCTCTCTTTTTCTTCCGGTTTAGTGCACGCGCGAAACGAGGGCGGTAGCCCGAGAAGAAAATCATCTCTTTTTTCGTGCCTCTCCCATCTCGCGCCATCAGTCACGCGCGCGGCCCTTTGCGCGTCTCGCGTTTTGCTCGACGGACTACAGAAAAAAGAGAGACTGCTCGTAGTCTGGCCAATAACGATGTGCGCAAAAATTTAAATAAGCTTAGCAGATTTCGAAGCAGGTGTAAGTAGCCTGAATTTCAGACATTCCTTCGAGTCGCATGCTCCTCTCAGCCAAGAGGAGTAAGCGATTCGAAGGAATGTCTGAAATTCAGTCTAAGATCTAAGTAGAACCTAGTCATTGCAAGCGGCTACTGCAAAACTAGGGTATTCAACCTACTTGGGAGACAACGGGTGCGTATTTCGCTAGTTATCCCAATGTACAGTGGACGAGACAAAATAGGTATTCATTTTGAAAGCTTTACTGCATTATGTAACACGGATAAATACAATTTCGTGACATGATATATATTTATTTTATACATATAAAGATGCATTTTCTGTTCTTAAAGTTACTAGTTAAATAGTATCCACAGTCACTGCCCAAAATGTAAATATTCCGATACTAAAATACTATTAACTCATCATTAGTAGAACGATCATTACAACACAATATGCATTTATGCGTACAAGGTTAAATATAAGTCTTTGTAATGATTTCTTCTGTGGCACATCATTATTGCCAATTGATTTGCTGACTTTGAACTGAATTTTAACTGACTGGTTTTGTTCCCTTTTCACGGCGACTGCATGGTGACGTCGCCCTTAATTCAGCCTTGCGTAAGTGCACCTGCCAACTTCACATTGTAAAGATTTACATTCTTTTGTATATTGCCTAAACACTCCGGGGAGAGTTTTATGGATCCCAAATTTTGTGTTTTAGCTGCTGCTTGACATTCAAACTTGTCCAAGAAGAGTCGGATCCTGTTGTTTGTGTCTTCAGGAATCTCCGTCTTTCCTTCCTTTTTGTATCGCAGCCACATGAGCGAAGCGTATTCAGGGTCCTTAGGATCGCCAAAATCTAACAGTGTAAATCTGTCGTTGGGTGGTACGCGGGTACGGAGCAGTCTCATCGCGTTGAACATCCTTGAAAGGTATTTACTCATCTTGAGGAAGCATTTGTTCAGAGTGGGAACAGGGTCTTGATTGCAGTGGTTGTATTCTTTGTTCGATTCTCCCCAGTTTTCAATCATTGACACCCACAGGTCGTGAGTTGAGAGTGGATTGTTGTATTGTACAAGTCTACCCATTACTTTTAGCTGCATTCCTCCCACTACATGTCGTATGGCACCGCGGGTGTGATATGCCTCTGCTGCGTAGAGTAAGGCCTCAGCGAGAATACCTATGGAACAAAACTTCATGAGTAATATTCAACTATCCCCCGAAGGGGAGGTGAATAGTGGTTCGCAGGAGCGGGCCAATCTACCTGGCCTACAAAAATAGGCGTTTACAAGATCTTGCTACCTCAAGTATAAAGTTAAATATGGTTTGGTACCTAGTAATGTCGTTGGCATTTTTAGTGTTAAGTCATCCAAATAGCACTTAAGAAATATGGATTTTCATTTACCCAGATTTTTAAAATAGTGTACTTTAATTACGGGAAACATTCTATAAGGTACTTTGGACCACATATATTGTTTAGATTGGACAGCAAAATCAAGAACAAACCTACCCTAGCTACAATCCTTTAAGTCCAGCATGTGGCGTATTAACCTTGTAAGTGACAACTGTGGCTCCTGTCTTATTTGTACAATGTAGTTCTTGAGAATTTTTAGAAATATTTTTAGCATTTTCTGCATATTTTAGTGGGGAAAACTCTGTAGTCTTTTAACTTTTTGTAATTTTTAGATGTTTGAGAATTATAAATTTACCTATACCGTGTATAAACTCATTTTATATATTTTTTATTTTTTCCTATTATTTTAGTGTCTCCAATTAGCTTTTATAAGCTAGAGACATCGACACTTAAAAAAAGTTGTTATGTTTATGTTTATGTTTATTATAATCAGTTTATCTTGTCCCTGAGTTTTCAAACAAGAAAATAACCTGCTTATGAAAACAGATTTATGCTACTCGGACCACCAATCATCTCTGAAGAGAGACCGGGAAGGAAAATCTCTACCCTCCCCCACGTATCCTGACGAGCACGTTGGTAAAAAAAATGCAATGACAGTGGAAACCTTCTCCACAACTGCAACCTTGAGGACAGAAGAAAGACCCCGTTGTAGAGAGGTGGCCGTTCGTGGAGGTTCGACTGTATACTTTTAAAAATTACCTAAATTTTCTGCGTTGTATCCGCCATTGTTTGACATTGTTTCCACGCGCAATTGGTACTGATCGTTATGAGTTTTTCTAAAGTCTTTGAGGGATGTGCCTTCAAGGTGTCTCATTGGGCTTTGATTATCCAAATTCTGGAATGCCGCCAGCCAAGAGTTCAGCGAGTCTTTGAATTTTTGACCCATTTCATTAATAGCTCCACTCGTCAAGGCGTCGAAGAAGCCTTTGTTATACTTGAAGACCTTATAGTAAGCACTGGCCAATTCCTGCATTTTGAAATTCACTGTTTGCTCCTTTCGTGCTACAGAGTTAGCAAACTCACGTGGGAGCTTTTGAAATATGGAGGGCATTGCAAACTCCAGTGTGAACGCGTAAACATTTGTATCAAAAACAAGCTCTGACGGTTTTCCAAACGTAATTTCAAAAAAGTCGTTAAACTTCTTCGCCAGAAAACCAGCATCTTTACCAATTAACCCAACGTCGTAGTCTGATTTACAAGTGGCGCTTCCGTAAGGCTTAGGAAAACACACTCCAGAATCAGGGATCACAAGGCTTATCAGTTTGCCGTAATCATCTCTGACTTCTTGACAAGCAGTCAAACGTGTGCCGCTCTGTTCGTACAGAATATAGGTTACCAAGAGATATCTAGCGGCTGTTATGTAGAGGAGGTTGATGCAGCTCCTAGTCTTTTTGGATCGATCCCAATCGTTGTTTTCTGTTTGAGTAAAAAATTTCTGAGCCTTTCCAGCAAGTGATGCAAATGTGGTTAATTCTTCGGTTTTTGCAATTAGGAAATTTTCAAAACTCGGTTGCTGGACCCACTCATCTTTTTGCGGGTGTTTCTTGAACTCGTAGTTTTTGACAATTTCATTCTCTATCCAGAGGATGTCTGGATCCAGGTTCAATTGTTGAGTTGACGCTGGTGAACTTAACAAAAAAAAAGAAAGAAAAAGTAATTTACGCTGTTTAAAAAATATTTAGATGAACAATAACACCGGGTATAAATAGAGACTCCACCCAAAGGGAGTATCTAGCTTTTTCAAGGTTCAGGTATACGAAAGAGTTAGTGATTTCTACACGATTTAAACTACATAAAAAAGGTAGTTATTCACATATTGAAAATAACTTATAATAAAAATATTTCATGGTTAACATCTCTACTTGTAATGCTAGAAGTCCTCCCGTGATGGCTTCCATTTATTTCATTCCTTGGGTTAAGGAAGTATGACTCGAAGAGGTCACATTTTTCAATAGGTGGTATAAGAGAGGGGTTCCCTTTTGTCAGAAATGAGATAAAAAGAAGGTGGGAGGTTGAACCCCGTGGTGCGGGAGCCGTACAACCCTCCCTTCCCAGGAAATATCGTTCATGCATGATTCAACTGGGGCCGTGAAATTTAACCCAAGGGAAGCATGGAAGATAATACGAGATAGCAGGAGAGGAAAAAACTCCTTTTGTTGATGGGCGAAAATCCTTTCTTTCTCTACTGGGAATGAAACAGCGTTCAGGACGTCATACAATAATTTCTACAAAATACCACCGATACATAGCATACGTGGTAGTTGATTTCCCCATGGGAGGTTCGGTATCCTTGTTATCTGAGGTCCATTCCGGATTCCCATCAGCAGTCTCGGTAGCATCCTTGAACATGGAAACAGGGAAAAGTTCGCCGTCGCAGACCTAGTATGAAAGGCAAAAACATCAGCTTTTTAAAATACAAACTTTGATGAAGAAGAAAGGAAAAACGTTATGAATTCCCCCAGTTGTAACTAGTCAACAAAGGAAGAATGCGCCGGGTGAATTTCGAGTTCATTTTAAAGTCAGCAAGCTCGTGTAAGTCACAAGCAAGTGTTAAAAGACCCTGTAAAATTATTTCGTGTGCAAACAGATGCATAAATCAATCAAAAGATACTTTCAATTGAAAAAATAATACCAGCAGAAAAAAGACACAGTGCGTTGTACCATGGCCACTCAATAGACATTAGCACGCCTCAGATTAGAACCTAGTGTCCCAAGAGGAGCAACGGTGAGGCAGTGGTGAAAGCCCTTCGCGCCCCCAACTAAATCCCGACGTCAACGACAAATACTGAATCTGGTTGAGTTTGTTGTTGGTTCTCTCCTTTGTACCGAGAGGATTTTCTCCGGGTACTCTAATTTTCAGCCCCCTCCTCAAAAGAACAACACTTCCAAATTTCAATTCGTTCTAGACGCACGGACACGTTTAAATGAGTTCTTAAAATGTCCGAAAGATGGATTTCTACTATCGCGTAGTTTTTATGTGCACACGTACGTTATTTTTACTCGCGTAAAAATAGAGGCAATGGACGGAAGGCCACGCGAAAACGTAAAAGTTGAGCGAGTTTTACGGTTACGCGCGGCCTTTCGCACATCGCCTTTAATTTATGGGCGTAAAATTTACGTGCGCGTACATAAAAATTACGCGGCAGTGGAAATTCCCCCTAACTGTTTCATAGGTAAACAAAATTGTAATTTAAGCTCATAAAAATAAATGGAATCACAATGTCTCTTACCACACTTCCTCCAACCAGCAATATGACAAACAAGGTACTTAGAATATTCACCATATCGTTGATTTCCTGAAAACTGGCAATGCAGAAGAAACTTAACTAAAGATCCTTTATTCCCTTTTTTCGCAGTTTTTTAATCATCACTAAAGCCATTCATCTCTAACTTTTCGGAAGTATCAAAAGTAGTCCTTCCCAAAAGAACGGGGTCTCAAACAACAGTTTTATGAACTGATCGTTTTACTCATTTTAATGCCAAGAATATTTAAACAAAACCACAGGCAGACCACCCTCTGTTAGTGGGGGCCGTTGTTGATTGAAATCTGAGCAACGATCCTTTGTTATTTATAGAAGAAATACATATGAACAATACGGTGGCTGTAATTTGTTCCAAAATGCAGAATTCAAAGCAAATTTTTCAATAAACGTTTGAGGAAAATGCTAACTGAGCCATGTGTCATGTTTTTTTCGCCGTGTGGTGCTGTTTTAAGCGCTATTTTGCGAGATGAATATTTGACCTCGGCGGTTAGAACTAAAGAAGGAGTCTTCTTTAGTTCTAACCGCCGAGGTCAAATATTCATCTCGCAAAATAGCGCTTAAAACAGCACCACACGGCGAAAAAAACATGACACATGGCTCAGTTAGCATTTTCCTCAAACGTTTATTGAAAAATTTGCTTTGAATTCTGCATTTTGGAACAAATTACAGCCACCGTATTGTTCATATGTATTTCTTCTATAAATAACAAAGGATCGTTGCTCAGATTTCAATCAACAACGGCCCCCACTAACAGAGGGTGGTCTGCCTGTGGTTTGGAAATAACTAAGCTAGATTTTTTAAAAACAGTTTATTCACTTATCGGCAAATGCCGGGCAAGATCAGGCCATCCGCAAGTGATTCAATATCGCTCGTGGAATTTGTCTCATGACCGACCTGGAGGCCAGCAATAAAATCTGTTTCACTGCTTCGAGACTGATAACTATATTCAATTGGGCAACAAGCTTGCTAATGCTTCCCAAGACTAACATTAAACTGCCAAATGATTTCGTTAATTGATATTTCCACACATGAACATTGAGTTCAAATTCAGGACCCCCAACGAGATAACATCGTTTCTAAAACTAGTACTACCAATTTAGGTGTCACCACGCAAAAAAGGGGTCACGTACCTTTCTAAGTGGCACAGCAAAGCCGAATGATCGTTTGATTGAAGAACAAATCTGCGAATTCTCTTCAATCAGGAAAGGCCACGCGGTATTCGGTAAAGCGCTTGTCGTTATCTTTTTATTTAAGAAATTTCTAACCGAACAAAGCATTTTTTTGGTTCATAACGGCTACTTAGATAGACTGACCACAAGCAATTAAGTCATTAGCTCATCGCGGCCACAATACGCCATAGGAAAATGCAATTTCTCAACATAAAATATTTCATGGAGACCTAATTTCTCCACACTAGCTCTCAAAATAGACAGAGAAATACTTTGTGTCTCAGATAACATTTTCCTTAAGCTTTTTTTTTTTGTTTTTGTTATTTCTACCGGGGATCAATATAACTTAAAACATTTACAAGTGTAATTTATTTACAAGTGTAGCGATTGTTTTTAGCGTCTGAAAACAATAGCTACACTTGTAAATTACACTTGCAAAAATTTTATTGAATTGACCTTTCCCCAGTTTAACAGCTTTACCCCCTTGTCAAACTTTAGTGATTCCATCCTGCAGAGTCAATAGCTCGAAAGCTAAGCTTCTCTGACCACCGCACACTTCTATCCAAGCTATTAATTTTCTTTTTTCCTTTTTCTTCTTCTTTTTTATTAGTGTATTCCTACCTTACTATTCTCATTCGTATAAAAGCCGCCGCGTGACGATTTAATCAACTAGATTACTGCGTGCTCCCTCGGGAAGCAGTCTATTGGTCCTTTACGGTCCCCAGGGAAATTCCCTAGGCCTTTTATACGCCCTAGCAAACAAATTCACCGTCTTCTCGCAAGTCTACTCTACAACGGGCAAGCAAGTTTCATTCTTCCGCAACGCGACCAGCGCCGCTGAAGCTCTTTCATGGCTCTCGTCCCTTTTTAACCAGACCCAGCTGACGCGGTAGCTATTGCTTCGACAGAACCTCAACCAGCACCAACACCATCCACCTAAGTATCATGTTTTTTTATTTTCTCGCTTCCCCCTTTTCTTGTCAATTTGTCACATACGTGGCGTTTATCTTTTTCACCATTCTGTTCTGGAGTTTGTTTACGTTAGCGCTTTTAGGCGTCTGTGCGACGTACCAGAGGTAAGGCGACCCTTATTTGATTTTTGTCGCGTCTTTTTCGTCTGTTACAGTAGAACGAAAACGAGCCGGAACATATTTACGTTGGCGCTTCATGGCGTCTGTGAAACGTAAAGGAGAATCTCAACAGTGCAGTTCAGTGGAATGTATTTAATTACGTTGGCGCTCTTCGGCGTCTGTGAAACGTATAATGAAGAGAAAGACATTACGTTGACGCTTCTTAGCGTTTGTGAAACGTAAAGGAGGATCCTAGCAGCTCTGTTCAGTGGCATGTTTTTAATCAGTTACGTTGGCGCCTTTTGGCGTCTGTGAAACGTACAATCAGGGGATAGGCATTACGTTGACGCTTCTTAGCGTTTGTGAAACGTAAACGAAGATCTCACCAACGCAGTTCGGTGGCATGTTTTTAATTTCGTTGGTGCCCTTTAACGTCTGTGAAACGTACAATGACGAACAGACTTCTTTGGCTTTACTTCGCGACCGTCCATCGTACATTTGTCTACAGTCTTTGATGCTTTATGGCATTTTACGTGTATGTATTGAAAGATTTTAGAATAAGGTGGCCAGTTGTTTATTTTTCCCGTTCGTTTCTTACTCATTGTATTGTCAACATTTTGTATAATTTCTGCACATTGCATTGTCAGCATACTCCGTGCCCCCTCGCAGCTGTTCCCTTGAGACGTCTCACTTTTTATATTGTGTTTATTCTTCTTCACCTATTACACTTGTGATCTTAGAGGTCACATAGCAGAAACAGAAGGTGACGTAACTCCTAGATATCAGTAACCACATTCTCTTTACTCTAGCGTACAGCCTTTATAAATTTGCACGAGTTTCCTTGTATATTATATTTTTCTTTGGCTTTTGCTTCCTATATTTCCTTACCCCACATTTGAGTCGTGCTCAGGGGGGGTTCCTAAACACACCCCTCATCCAGTCTTCGGACGGTGTCCTGACTGGACTCAACTGTGGGGTTCCCTCCCAGCCTCCCTCTTTCGTAGGGTCTTTCCTTCTTTTTTATCTCCTCCCATTCGGATTTCTCTAACCGGGTTACACATGCTGCAAGCCACCCTTCAGCTTTCCTTTAGCGTATCCGGGAGGGAAAGCCCCACAGTTGGGCCGGGCCACTCCCCTCAATTGAATCCGTCACATCTGGGAGGCATTACGCCAACACTGCCCATCTCTCTAAGGGAGTTTTTCTGGGTTTTTCTGAGTTTCGGGGAGATTTGACTGTACTGCAAGTTAGTGAGGTATTCTGCAATAATTTACCGTCTTTTGGATGAGTCTATAGCACCCCTGGTGTCGAGCAAAATTTTTCACCCATAACTTATCTATCAAAAGGCATAAGGTGGCTTTTATGCGAATGTAAATTAGTTACTATTCTCATTCGTATAAAAGCCGCCGCGTGACGATTTAATCAACTAGATTACTGCGTGCTCCCTCGGGAAGCAGTCTATTGGTCCTTTACGGTCCCCAGGGAAATTCCCTAGGTCTTTTATACGCCCTAGCAAACAAATTCACCGTCTTCTCGCAAGTCTACTCTACAACGGGCAAGCAAGTTTCCCCACCCTCCTCCCCTTCAGCGGCGCTGGCAAATTTTCTCTATCAGCCCACCTTATGCCTTATGCAAAATTTTTCACCCATAACTTATCTATCAAAAGGCATAAGGTGGCTTTTATGCGAATGTAAATTAGTTACTATACATAATGTGAATATTTTATAACAGTGTCAATAAAATTGAATTGAATTGAATTGGCCAGCCCACAGAAGCAGAAGCGACTCCGGCTGTGAAAGCCTTTTGTTTGGAATGTTGTCATGCTCTGCACTTAGCGTTTGCTAACCTTTAAATGAGGACATTTCCAACAGGAGGTGCCGGGGGTATTTTATATCCCTGTAAAATGAAAAATGGCCACAATGCACCATTAAGTAAAAGAAATATCTCAACACAATGTATCTTATAATGAACAAATTTCTTAAGTTGCACTAACATCCAAAACAGAAAGAGAACTGTTTTGCGCCATATTTAATGACCTCTTGAATCAAGTTTCAAGATTTTTATCGCTTTTTCACCTGATAATAACTTAGTTTTAACCAGTTCACTGAGACTATTGAAAGTTAGCGGGTCGTGCAAGGCCAATAAAGACTGGCCACCAATTAACCAAATGAAGCTGGAAAAGCAATGTTAAATGCTTTGTTGTGACCTTCTTAAAGAAAGCATTTAATACATTTTGAATAAGTTGTTCAAAAACCTTTTTTAATTATTTTTATTTTCAGGAGAGAGGAGGAAGGTATATGAATGCTACACTTTGTAAACAGTCTTTGAACTTTTTTCAATAGTCTGGTCTATTTTTTTCTTTTTTACCAATGTTATACTCTCTAATTTGCCAGCCTGTAAATATTTAAGGGTAACGAAGTGCCTCGCGCGTGTACTGACGTCCCTTGCACGGTTTCTCCTTTTAATTTTTTTTTTAATTTTATTTTTCTCATATATACCTTATTCTTTTCTTTATCTTATCCAAGGTTTACACTGTAATAATAAATCCTTAAAAAAGCTTAGTGCGAGTTTACTAAGACAAACCCAAAACTATGACACACCGCACAAAACATTTTTCAAATGAGGAAAGGTTTCAGGCTGCTAAAACTCGCGATGATCCGAGCTAGATTACTTAAGATGTGTTTTTTTCAGTAGCTTACAGTTTCTTTGCTGGGAAAGTTTTCATACAGTTGAATAGGTCCATCTCTTCAGCAACAAAATTAGCAGGTAACTAAGTCTTGCTGCCAGCTTATTGTTAACATTTTGTAGTTTTTCTCATCAAGTTTAGTGGTTCTTAACTGATGACCATGTCGGAATTCAGTGGATTGTTTTCATTAAGTATGGTTTGAATTTTCTCAGTAAATCAGAAAGAAAAAATTTTTCCTCTTTGTTTTTCTTTTCTTTCCTCTTTTTTCACCGTTCATTAACAAACCTTTACAAAAAAATTATTCGAAAAGCAAGGAAAAGATTAAACGGGTCTTGAGTTTGAAAGTATTTGTGAATTATCAAATCCGTTTTAATAAACTTTTGATATGTAATTTTACTAATATTCTACACTTTTTCCTGCTTCAAGAGTTACAAAGTGTCCACAGTAACAAGAACAAACATTTTGTTGTGATTATTATTATCATTTTTTATTGGATTCGCCTCGTACAAGGTATATAGACCATTTTATATGACGATACGGTTAATATATGGTTAATATGCTTAAATGCGTAGGAGGTTAAATAAACGTCATTATGATGGTATTATTTTTCTTTAGTGCGGTACATCATTATTGCCAATTCATTTCCTTATTTTTGAAATGTATCTTTCTTCTTTTCTACGGTGATTTTATGGTTACGTCTGTAGCAAGTGCAGCGGCCAACTTTACATTATAAGCATTTACAACGTCATGTATTTTGCCTAAACACTCTGGAGAGAGTGGAGTGTTTCTAAAATCTTTTGTTTTTCCTCTTATTTTACATTTAAAATTGCCAAAAAAGGATTTTATCATACTGTTTTTGCTTTCAGGAATCTCCGTTTTTCCTTCCTTTTTATATCGTAGCCACTCCCTCGCTGTGGATTCAGGGTCATTGGGAGTTTTAAATTTTAACAGGAAAAATCTCTTTATTATTGGTAGACGGGAACGGAGCAGTCTCATCGCGTTGAACATCCTCAAAAGGTATTTGCTCATCTTTAGGAGGCACTTGGTCAGAGGGTCTTGCCTGCAGTGGTTGTATTCTTTGTTTGTCTCTCCCCAGTTTTCAATCATTGATACCCACAGGTCGTGAGTTGAAAGTGCGTTGTTGGTTTGCCCCCCTATTGACTTCAGCTGCATTCCTCCCACTACATGTCGTATGGCGCCGCGGGTGTGGTACGCCTCTGCTGCGTAGATTAATGCCTCGGCGAGAATACCTTCAAGACAAAAGTGCAATAATTCTTTATGTCCTAATCGACTGAAAAACTGGGTATGATATGCGACCACAATGTTTCTTGGGATCGCTTGGAGGGAGAGAATAATAGCGCACTACAATTACTGTGTTCCAGGCTTCAATAACAGTTTCAGAAATGCAATTTGTCTTTACGTCTATAAAATTCTCTACGATCCTGGCACATAAGGTATGTCTTCTTCTGGCATAGAGCGTAAATAAGTCGCTTGCTGTCCGCCTTCTGTTTTCTGTCCCTCCAAACGATCCCTAGGGCATTTGCGGTCATAAGACGTACCAATTCCCCGCTCGTTTACAACATGGCCAATTAAACCGTTTATCAAGTAAACCATGAAGGAGAGACTATGAGTGAACTATTTGTATGCGTGGTCAAGGTTCAGGCTCTAGCCTTGGTCATTCTACTGTATTAGGAAAAAGAGAGCGTTTGTCGCAATCCTAATGCAACCTGACTTAATCGTCTAGATAGGTCTCGATGGCTAGCCTCCGCCTCCTACGCGTGACGAACCCTTTAGAACGTCTGCGTGGGAGGCTACTCGATGGCTAGTACTACAATAGATGGTGAATGTCACATTAAAAACTAATTGACTGAATAAAGAATAAGGAATAGACATCGCAACACCCTTAAAAAGCCTGATTAGTGATTAAACGGTGCACTGATCACGCGGCAACGACTAGCCAGAACATTTCGCATACGCTTAAGTGGCTCGTTAAAAGGTCAGGACTGAACCTGAAATGGCAGAAGTAATTAAGTCATTAACTTAACTGCAGCGTTTCCCTTTCATGTTCGCCTAAGTGCTACTATATCGCTCACTCGTTATCAATTAATAACAAAAGAAGAATAAGTAATTACCTAAATTTTTGGCTTTATATCCGCCATTTTTTGACATCTTTGCCACGCGCGTTTGGTACTGTTCATTATGAGATTTTCTAAAGTCTTTGAGGGAATTGCCTTTTACGAGTCTCATTCCATGTTGATTATTCAATTTATTAAATGCCGACAGCCAATAGTTAAGCCGCTCTTTGAAAGTTTTTTTCATTACTCTCTTAGCTTTATTCGCCATCGCGCGAAAGAAGCCATCGTTATATTTAAAAACCTTGTAGTACGCACTGGCCAATTCCTGCATTTTGAAGTTTACTGATTGCTCTTTTTGGCTGATAAGATCAGCAAACCTAACCGGAAGACCATGGAATATGGAGGGCATGGAGAATTCGAGTGTGAAAGCGTAAACATTTGTATCAAAAACAAGCTCTGAAGGTTTTCCAAAAGTAGTTTGAAAATAGTTGTTAAACTTCTTCGTTAGAATACCAGCATCTTTACCAATCAGCCCAACGTCGTAGTCCGATTTACAAGTGGCGCTTCCGTAGGGCTTAGGAAAACACACTCCAGAATCAGGGATCACAAATTTTTTCATTTTGCCGTACTCTCCAACTTGCTTACAAGCAATCAACTTTTTTCCGCTTTGTTCGTAAAGAATATGCGTTACCAAAAGATATCTAGCGGCTGTCATGTATAGGAGGTTAGAGCAGCTCTTTTTGTTTTTTGAACTTTCCCAATCAATATTAATTTTAAAGAACTTCAGAGCTTTTAAAGCGACTTTTCTAAATTTGGCGGTTCCTAGATCATTTTCAAAGGATGGTTGCTGTTTCCATTCATCTATTTCCGGGTCTTTCTTGAAACCGTAGGGACCAACAATTTCCTCTTGTATCCATATGATATCGGGGTCCAGTTTCAATTGTCGAGTTGAGACAGGTGATCTATTTAAAATGAAAGGTAATTGCACCATTAATAAACGATTGATAATAGTTTTTAAAGTGCATTTATATCTATGAAGTCATTTTCTTTTCCCAAGATACTAAATCAAATTGAGTAACAAACGTGAGAAAATGATAATCTGGGCAGTGGGGAGGTTAGAAAAGTACCAACAAATCCTTGCAACGGAAAAACCCAGAATAAAAATAATTCCATAGGAAAAAGTATAGAAATATATTCCTGCATTGACCGTCCTAAGTGTCCCGGATTAATCTGTTGGCCAATCAGTTTGAGGAATGTACAGAGCGGAAGTTCAACAAAATATTTTTAATCTGGAATTTATTTTGAAGGACTCGGTGGAGCAGGTCTGATGCTATTCAAAACTCTTTGAGTGCTGTAAATTAACGGAGGTTTAACGTCACCTATAGTGCCTCAGTGCTTCCGTCTATTGACGCCATCACACGGGAGTACTTCTAGCCTGCGTCAAAAGAGGTCTTTCATCCTTTTTTGCCTGCATGCAGATGTCTCCTATTTCCTTTGTTGCGCGCCGCAAAAGGTCGCATTTGGTGGTATCGCAAGAGATCACACGTAAGCGAGGGAAGAGAAAACAAAAACATCGGGCTTCGCCACTCGCTTCTCCGCTCGTCGCGGGCCTCGTCTCTCTTCGCTCACCACTCTAAATGGGTAACTTGTTCGCTTGCTAGGTGACAATTTGAATGGAAGTTAAATTTGACCGCCCTAAAGGATAATCGTCTTCTGCAGATGGGCGGAATGGCAATACTACAAATACATAACTTACGCGATAGCTGATTTTCTCATGGGAGATTCTGTATCGTTGTTATCTGAGGAAAATGCTACCTCCCTTTCAGTAGCATCCCCGAACATGGAAACGGGGAAAAGCTCGCTCTCACACATCTGTCATGTAATAAGGAAAAAACAGGATATTTCAGCTGCGAGCTTCAATACAGTTAGCACCTTTAAAACATCTGTTTGGTATCGGGGTATAGTAGTATAGTAGGGACCGAGCTATCCTCTTATGAGGGAAAATCTCATACAATTCAGGGGAAATATGCTACGCAGTCAGAGTAGTCAATCGTTAAAAATCGGTAGCAGTTAAATGATTTTTTCGATGAAAATCGATATACTAAATTGCTGTGTCAAATCGACATTATCGTATTATCATGATTTTAACGATTTATAACGGAAGCCCGCCAATGTTGTTTTTCTGGCGTGAATTAGATAGTACAGCTGAGGAGACACGTTAACGAGTAACAAATGATCAACAAACATGAAAATGAGAAATGTGGAAACTTTTGCACACATACAGGTTTCTCTCTAAAACCCTTCGATTCAAAGGGATTTCGATTTCAAAGGAAATTTAGGCTAAAAGAATTCTCTACATTGATTATTTACCGTTTTCCGTTGTTAATCGATAAAATCACCTGATTGCTACCGATTTTTATCGACTCACTACTACGTGATGTAACTACGCCCGGAATTACACCGACATTATTTTGAAAGGGTGACAGATCGTAATCGTGAAAACTGGTCGCCTACAAAACTACCAATATCAGCCATCAGAAAAAATGTTAAAGTGATAATTGCTTGATCCTTCGACTTTGAATTGCAACTCAATCTTCAATAAATTTACTGTTTGCAAGGACTCAGTTCTCAGTTTTTTAATGAGCAGATGAACAAATGTATTGTTTGATCGTTAGAGTTTCAATTACAACTTAATGTTCAATAAATTTACTGTTTGCAAGGATTCCGGCAGGATGAACTAACGTGCCCTTCGAATCGAATGAATCGATAAGCCCGGTGCAAACGGACGTAACATTGTTGGCCAGCCAACAACCCCCAACATTGTTGGATGTTACATGTTGCGTCCGTTTGCACACCCTGTTGCATGCTGTGACATGTTGTTGGGAGTTGTTGCGCAAAGTTTGAAACCGGTCAAGCTTTTTGCTACGTGCAAACGGACGCAAAAACTCCCAACGTAGCCTGTGTACAGACGTCCCCCATCCCTCAGTACACGGGCGACTCCCAACGCCGTTGAGAGTTGTCGCGTCCGTTTGTACATAGCTGTAAAATTGGTAAAAATCTAGTTAATTCGTGAACGAAACGAGTGTGTCATCGATTTCTACCGATTGATCGATACAATCGATATCAATCAAATCCGATTTACCGATTTTTAACGATTTATCGATTGACAACTCCGGGTACACTAGCACCGATGACTCATTATTGAGTGGAGTGATGTGGGTGGAGAACAAAAAATTAATTGTAGAGGGGAAGGAATGGGAGAGGGATAATTATTAATTATTAATTTGCACGATTTGTACGTCAAGAATCTGTGAATCGGAACTACAACAAATTGATGTCTGCAATGGACAGTGAAAGTAGTAGACAACAGAACTTGCATCATTACTTTACAGACCAGTGATTTTGAATTAAGGCGTGTTAATGATTATTCCTGGAAAAGTTTCAGTACAAGAAACTGGAGGTCATGCAGCCGAGGATCATCATGAAACAAATCCAGGTGGTGAATAAATCATCCTGGATCAGTCCAAATGAATTTTCACAGTCGTAATCGATTAATACAGTCTATAATTTATTAGTGCAAAATAATAAGGGGGAGGGGGGGGGGCATATTTGAGGGGGGGAGCATAATGGAGAATTTATGGTAATCCAAGAGCCATAGTGTCCCATTATGGCTCCTAATCCCTGTTATCTCTTTTGGTAATGTAAGTAGTAAATTCACTTCCCGCCGTGTGCGGGGAAAAAGGCTTGATGATAATCCTGCGTTAGTCACCACTAAAGCACTCCAATATCTGCCAATCTGGGCAGGTTGTTCAAAGCTTGGTTAAAACAACGCAGGGTGAGTGTCAAATTTGAATTCAGATATGAAAGCTGAAGAAGCAAATTAGTTTAATCCATTTTGTCTACAATTTGATGACTGGATGCTCTAAAAAATAAGGAGAAGTTTATCCAAGAAAATAATTTTAAGCAAAAGAGAGAGGAACCCAGGTTAAAGTTTAACACCGGGTTAACGCTAATCGATCGGCCTTCGAATGACTGGGTCCATGGTGTTCACGGATTATCATCTGAAAGATTGGATATGCGTGCTACTTAGAGTTCTCAGCCAGGGAAGATTTAGAAAATCGCATACCACATGTCCTTGAACCAGCAAAATAAAAAACAAGGTACTCAAAATGTTCAACATGTTTCAAGTTCCTGAAAATTAAAAAAAAAACAGGAAATAAGTTTAAAATGAAATAAGTTACTTGGTTTTCGGGCCGATACAATGTTTCAAGCCAAATATAGCACAGTTCATTTAGGGGTAGATAAAATAGCTACAATCGGCGACAAAATGAGTTGAGACACTTCGCCCAAAAGTAGGCTTTTTTACGTTTTATGAACTTCAAAAGGAGGAAATATAGCTTTCCTCCCCCATCCCCTCCGTACAATGTTGGGCCCTTGTTCTAGCTACCTATAGAAAACAAGAAACACCCCAACTTTGAATGGAGGGGACAGGGGAGGGGTGCGGATTCTTTTGTCCCCGAAGTCACCCTATTTAAGTACAATGTCTCAACAATTTTGCCGCCGATTGTAGCTCCAGATAAGCTAAATTCCGAATTGGACACATTCAGTAAGCGGTGCTCCAAAAATTATCTTACACTGAGTCCGCATCAAAGTGTAAAAATATTACGGATGGCAAAAGCAATATGGTAAGGAAAAATCCAGAACTCAAAACTCCGACTAAGATATTGAACGCAGACAGCAAAGATTCAGGGGCAACCAACGGCAATTTTTGGAAAATATCTGTTCGGAAGACGATTTGAGATATAGAATTTTTGGAACATTTGTTGTAAAAGTTCTTGCTTGCCTGCCTCATCTAGGATTTTTGGACATCTAAAAAATGGTATAGTTGCCCATTTTTAAGGGATTTTTACCCTAAAAAGGTCACCTAGAATTTTCGGCAGCCTTTTTTCGCGCTGAAATTTTCGAAAAGGTAAGTCTTGATCCCTATAATTTTCGGATCACTAGACTTTCAGGAAATCCGAACACATGAAAAATGTTTAAGGGATAAAAAATATGCCTATATTTACCGTTTAAATACTAAAATACGTTCAATAATGCTATGTTTAAGTGGTTTTGAACTATATTCTCGTTGGGTGCCCCTGAAGATTCCTTCTTCTACTGTCCAGGCAGAGAACAGGAAACAACCATTGAATCACTCTCAGATTTACGTCAACAGTTAAACAGGAAAGTTATTTAATTTCACTGTTATAAATGTTTTAATCTACTTAGAAATGTACATGATAAAATGTCCAGTGTGACAAGAATTTAGTAGATTCCTTACGTGGTAAAATTACTTCATTCTGATGTTTCTCTTTGATTTCAGGGGCACCCAAGGACGGTTTCCTCCTAAATACATTGAAAACACTTTTTTGGCTATCCAGAGTCGTTGTGGATCTATAGAAATGCATTCTAATCGGCGCTATAAAATTTGTATCTGTTTGGTCATTCTGGAAGAACTTGAGTCTTTTCTAAATTACAAGGGCTTCAGTATTATTTTCCTGAAAATTTTACATACAATTCAACGTATTACCAAAGTGAAAATTATTTTCGAATCCGAATATTTTAGACTTCCTTTTTGCTACGAAAACTAGCTTAACCTGGGGAGTGAAAAGTGAAAAATTAAACTTGCGTGAAAAATCCTTGTTACTCTTGCGATTTAAGCGATATTTGCAGACATTTCGGGGCCCCTCTTGGCTTCTTCTGTTTCCAAGTCTTGATTCTTGTTAGATTTCTTATTGTTGCGATTTTTGCGATATTTGTCACGGGTGTTTTTAGCTAGCAAAAAAAAATCCATGTTACTTTTGCGATTTTTGCGATATTTGCGGACATTTCGGGGTCCTTCTCAGCTTCTTTTTTTTCTAAGTCTTGATTCTTTTTAGATTTGTTATTTTTGCGATTTTTGCGATATTTGTCACGGGTGTTTTCAGCTAGCAAGAAAAATCCTTGTTACTTTTGCGATTTTTGCGATATTCGCGGACATTTCGGGGTCCTTCTTGTTTCTTGTTAGATTTGTTATTCCTGCGATTTTTGCGATATTTGTTAGTGATTTTCTGACATAATTTTTTCTCAATTATTCCTTTTGCGACAATTGCGAAAACAATTTGCCAGCAAATTTTTGCCAACAAGATCGATCCTGGACATAAGTGCACTGTTCCACGGTACTAGGATCTGCTACAACTGGAAACAGGACGGCACTCAAACTTGGACTTCAACAGTTTAATCTTCAGCTCGTGGACGTAAATCATAAGGGACGGACCATTAGAAAACTTATGGGGGAGGCGGGCGAAGTACAAAAAAAAACTTCGCGCAAGGGAAAATTAAATGAAAAAAAATTCTTGCACGCCAATTAACCCTAAAAAATATTCATGCTATGGCCTAAAAAAAATTCATACAAGGAATTTGATAACGAAAAAAAATTCCTGCGGCTCGAAAATTCCCCTCCCCCCCCATAAGTTTTCTAATGGTCCGTCCCTAATGCATGTGCATCCAAAATGTAAATCATCCATATAAATCCGCAATGTAAATGGAAAAACAGCTGGGATAACAGTGCTCCATTTACACAGACCGATCAACTTATTACAACATCACAAAACAAATGGAAAGAAGGCTGAATAAAATCAGCTGAACACTGAAAACAAATCTGGATAAATTAAGCTTTAAAGTTTATATTCTAAACTAAATGACTTACAAAGATTCATCAGCAAAGCTGTGCAAAAGAATTCGAGTTTCCTTTGCTCAGGATTCCTTAAAATGACGAAATTAAAACTACGAACGGTTGGTCTTTGAACAGGCGAAAGATCCAGTTATTCAGTGACTAAATTATTCGGAAACTG